CGTGCGTGTGCCCGAACGAATTGGCGCGGCGGTGGCGGCCTCCCCCCGCTTTTGAAATTTTCTCTTTCCGATGCGCTCGCGGTGCGGTGCGGCGCGGCTCGTGGGGTGGGGTGGGTAGAGAGGGCGGCTGGCCGACGGCACGCGCCCCGGTTTGAAATTTAAGCGGCCGTCGCGCGCCCGGGGGTGGGCTCTCTCCTCGTCCCGTGGCCGTCCGATCTGGGTCTCGGCTTTTTTCGCGGTGCGCTTTGGCTGGCCGTGATTCGGCGGCTCACGTCAGGGCACGTGCGACGGGAGGGAGGGGAGCGGGCGCGGCGCGTGATCGGCGCGCTGGCTGGACGCGCCTTTCCCTCCCGGCGGCCCCGGTGCGTGCCGCGGAATCACGCGATGGCACCGCACCGCACCGCACCACCGCGGTGGAATCGTGTTCCGGACGACGAGCCTGGCTACTGCCTCTCTGCCTGCACTCTGCCACGGCTTGCTTTCTTTCTTTTTGACGTGTGCCATGGCTTACTTCCCACTCTTCAGAAAGCGCGACAATGTAACTTTAAAACAAAAACAAAAAAGCTCAACAACGTCGCAGCTCAAAAAAAAAAAACGTCACACACACACGCGCGCGCATTGTCATTTTGTAGATGGAAGAGACCGACTGGTCGAAGTTCAAAACATCTACTACAAACGGAAGCTCTGATACGGTCGTCCCCGCTAACACATGATCTTCACAGTAGAGGGGTTGAAGGATTTATACAGCACTGAAATGCAAAGTGTGCTTTTCAAGCTTCAAGCCCAAGAAGAAGATGGCATCCAATACGAATGCTTCAAGCCTATGAATGGTTGCGAGCGCCGCCGTCTCGATGCATTTTGGAGCGCCCCTCCACGAGGGATCCGGTAGAACCGTGGAGTCTGCTCCTGACACTGCTACGAACAAAGAGGAAATCTATTTGTTAGGCATTTACTTAAACTGCTAGCATGAGCCAGGTTGATTCGCAGCGATGCCAAAACACACAGTCAGACAGCCATGAGCGAGACATAATGTGTATTATTTTTTGTAGACGGGCATTTGTAGGATAGTACTACGCACAAAATGGGAACTTCACTTAATAAATGCAAAAACTCACCTCACCAAGTGTTGGAGTGAGCCATCGTCTGTGTCTCCAAAACATGAACAATCATCAGAAATAACAGCAGACAGTGAACCCCCAGAAACTTCCGCCATGGCCAAAAGTGCAACGGCATTCAAATTCCGTGAACTGGCGACAGCCACCAAGAACTTCCGCCTTCGACTGCCTTCTGGTTCTGGGAGATGGTGGCTGGACAGGGTCGACAAGGGCCACCGTGCAAATGCCCGGGTATATACAATAACGCCTTGATGATAAACATTCTTCAGATACAGTCTTGCTGGCTTGCAAAAAAATTCCTCGCTGCTTCAGTTATTACTTTTGATTGATTCACAGCCTGTAGCTGTGAAGCAACTAGACCTTAACTGACATCAAGGCTACAGAGTTCCCAGTCAAGATCTTGATGATCAGCCTCTTGTACCATTCAAACTTGGTGAGCTTATCAGGATACTGCGCAGAGGATCAAAGGCTACTGGTGTATCATTTACGATACGAGGACAAGAATTTATAAGTTGAACTGGCATCATTGTAGATAACAATTCTGATTAAATACCACTCAGTTGCATATCAGGATGAAGATAGCCCACATAACTGCTAGGGGGATCGAACACCGCAATGAGAAAATGAACTAGCCGGTCATCTGCCGAGGTTTCAAGTCCCCCAACATCCTTGATGAGAAATACAACCATAAACTCCCAGGCTTTGGGCTCACAAAGCTCGGCCTGGTTTGGGAGAAGAGAAGACATAGTACATCTCAACTCCACTGATGGCCACATGTGGGCCCAATATATTCCCCCTATAAAGAATGCTTTGTTAGATTTTATTTGAAAAAATGCTGGACAATATTTCTTTCCGACTGCTAAGCTAAATTCATATTTGATCAACAGAAAAAGCCCATGATCAGGGATAGGAGGAGATACCATGAGTTAGTAGGCCCTCTTCTTAGACATGAATACAGGAGGAAGCCTCTATTCCGCCATACATGAATGATGTCGTTGTCCCATTGGGATTCCTTGCAAAGGTGCCTGCTGGCTGTGAAGAGAAACCTAGTGCTGCAAAGGGCCAACAAGGTGTAGTCGAGGCCATCGCCAGCAGAAATGGGCAAAGCCATCGAGACTAATATCCACCAGCAGGAAGAAGAGAAGCTCAAGTTCAAGGAAGGACAACTCGCTCTCAGTGCATTATAGCCCCATCTGAAGAAAAAAAAAATCAATGTAGAAAAAGGCAGCGCTGCCTATTCACAAAGGTTATTAGGTTCCCCTGAGATGTAACTTCCCAATTTTGTATTGCATTAGAGCTGAATTGTCATATATTAACAAGAAACTGCAAATCACATTCCTGTCTCGTAAAGGTGGTAAGGGGTATTATAGCCTGTGCTGAATCCAAAAGGTTGTAAAAACCAGTATGTCCGATGCTTATATACGTTGCACAAAGATGTTACTATGTCAGGGATCTACGCTGCTTGCAAAAAATATGGGAGGAGCACTAACTTTTTTTTACATAAAAACCGAATAGTGAATCAAATGCAATTGTGTGTTGATGTTTGTTTGCAAGTGTGTTGGACATATACAAAAGAACGGGAAGGCTTGGATAGGATATCGTCAAACAATGAAACCCAGAAACATTTTGGTAACGTTTTAGATCCTACTCGGTACTCACCTCTAGTTAGAAATATGCAACCAACACCTGACTGACAAAAGAATAGTTTCAGTCCTCTTTGAAGAGCTAATTATCATTCTTCTTATCTCACTACAGTGCCAGCTCCAACCTCAAACAGTTTGCATTTTCAGGAAAGGACCAGTTGAGTACTTCTTTATGTATCCATTGCCACAAAGACAATTGGTTGCCTGCCATAAAGGAAGGTTTAAGATTAATTAGTGGACAAAAAAAGAAGTTAATACATACTGCAACGCACTATGTCTAAAGAAGCTGCAAATAGTAAATCATTTTAGACTGCTTGGATGACACAAGTGCATAATTCAGCAAGAACTTTTCCCAAGGAAGATAAAATGAGAGTGCTTGGATGACACAAGTGCATAATGTAACAAGAACTTTGCCCAAGGAAGATAAAATAAGAGTGCTTGGATGACACAAATCCAAAATTTGAGAAGTCAACTGAGATCTGTCCAAAATATGGGCGACATTCTACGGTACCTGATCGAATTCCAAATAAATATAATTAATAAAAAGGAACAAGATATGCGACAAATTTATATGGAATGAATTGAAGGTCTTTATATCAACTGCAACTTGAGTTCTGCTATCAACAGAGAAGAAAATGTGAAATTCGCTGGCCACATTGCTCCCTCTAGCGAACATAAGGAAAAACAACATCAAGGCAATGCCTGCAAGAGATATTTCCAGATTAAGATCATGCGTCATAGTCATAACATAAATATCTGCACCAAGAAAATGTATTGAAAATGTTTAATATTTGTATCTTGTTCAGGAACTCAATTTTTAATTGTGGGTTCAGTAAGTCCTTTACGGTGATATATGACGGTATCTAGTTCAGGAACTCATACAGTTTTTCTGGTGTATAATGACACATGCATCTAACTATAAACATGAAGACCTCAAAACAGCAACAGGAGAATAAAAAATAAAAGGCCCTGGGGTACTAACACCCCTAGCATATTCTTAAGAGGAAGAGAGGATGCGAACCTTGAGCATGGAAATGGCATGCAGATTAGGGGCGATGTCCATAGGATGCACGCCCAGCAGCGGCATGCATCAGGCCAAAACGCTGGGGTGGCACCAACACACAGCTCGATCTTGTGAGCGCATGGAAGAGAACTCATGTCGACATCATTGAGAGGGAACTCCAAACCATGCCAAATTGCCAATGTTTATCTGGCTAGTCCAGTGCATCAACCGACTCCATTGAAAAATTGGTAATTTACAGGGAGCAAACTGATTTGTTCCCGATATTTCCCTTTACTTGAAAAGAGACACATCAACAACGAAGTAGTTGAAGCTTCAAGTGAGATGCTCTTGCCATCAACTTTAGACATATAATTTCCAGCCTTGACGATGTCACCGTTTTCCAACAATATTCTGATGATATTATTTATAAGACGAGAGTCTGGAGCACAACCACTCTTCTCCATTAATGAGAACATATTTTCAGCTTCTTCCACTGATCCTTCTTTTAGAAGATTTCCTATCATTACGCTGTAGGTAGAAGTATTAGGTACCATCCCACTGGCTGATATTGCAGCAAACAAACCGTTAGCTTCTTCTCTTCTCCGAACCTTGAACATGGCATTGATCATGGTATTGAGTATTTTAATATCAAACTTCACATTCATTGCTCCTAATTTCTGAAATAGGGTGATCGCTTCGTCAGAGCAATTATTCCTACAAAGTCCTCCAAGTATTATACTGTATGTGGAAATGCTCACTGTTATTCCCGTTTCGATCATCTCAACGAACATTTTCTTTGCAGCAAATGTTCTCCCAGCACGAAATAACCCATCCAGTATGATGTTATATGTGATTGTTGTGGGTTTAGGTTTGTTTTGCAACATTTCTCTGAATAGAATCAACCCATCATCAATCCTTCCACATCTACAATAGCCATAAGCAAGTGTATTATATGTAAAAACATCAGCCTCAATGCCAGCTGATACCATGGAATCAAGTACTCCAAATGCTTTCTCCATCTCACCGACTAAGCAATGTCCATCAATCAGCGTATTAAACGTAATGATGTTAGGTTTCAGACCTATGTCTGTAACCAAGTGGAAGATATCATGTGCATCCATAACCCTTCCTTCTTTGCATATACCGTCCATTACAGAACTGAAGAATGCAATGTTTGGACAAGGAATACCTTTGTTTGTCATTTCATAAACCAACTCCTTTGCTTTCCTCAAATCACCATGTGTAGAGAAACCCTGAATTAGGGAGTGATAAACAACTGTGTTCGGTTGTACTCCCTTACCAATCATCTGACTGAAGTTATCCATGGCATCAGCCAGCCTACCCATTCTGCAAAGTGCAGATATTAGAGTTGAATAGGTCCATACATCTGGACACACTCCTTGTCCCTGCATTCCAGTAAATATGTGCATAGCTTCATCCATCATTCCATGTTTAGCATGTGCATCAATTAAAATGTTGAAAACCTGACGATCGGGTACAATACCCTTGGTTGCCATTGAATTAAAGAGATTAATCATATCAGCAAAGCATCCTTTGGTTGCATACCCATGGAGCAGAACATGATACATGACCAAATCAGGCTTGTGGCCCTTGGCAGTCATGGAATCAAAGAATTCGGCAGCTTCTTTGGTTCTTCCATGCTTACAAAGAGAGGCCATGAACGAGGTCCAAGTAACAATATCTGGTATGAGACCCTGTCTTGTCATTTCTCTGAACATTTTACGTGCTTCCTTCCACTGTCCCAGAGTGCAATATCCATGGATCATGACATTATATGTCACATTGTTCGGTCGAACACCTTTATCAATCATCTGCCGGAGGAACAACTGTGCTTTGTCCATAGCTCTGGCCTTGCACAGCGCGTCAATGGTCAAGCTATATGTCACCACATTAGGCACAACCCCTTTCTGCTCCATTTCATGGAATAGACTGCATGCCTTGCTTACTTCACCTTCCTTAAAGAAGTCGTGGATGACCGTGTTATACATCACTACGTTGGGGGAGCAGAGACCTCGTTCTTTCTCCCACATGTGGAGCAGGTCGAGTGCCCGCTGGCTCCTGCCATCATCGCATAAGCTCTTCAGAACAATGGAGTATGAGAAGGCATCAGGCACGCACCCGAGCTCGGACATCCGATGTAGCAGGATGTCCACGGCCTCATCTGTCCGTTTGGCGCCGCAGAGGCACTGGAGGACCGTGGTGGCGACGACCACGTTTGTCCTCAGGCCCATCCTGAGGACGCGCCCAAAGAAGGCGAGCCCAAGTTCCGGACGACGCGTGCGGCGGCAGCAGTTCATGAGGATGCCGTAGGTGAAGATTGTGGACGGCACCACCCGGGAGCCGGCCTCTTCTCGGCGGGTGCGGTTGAAGAGGGCGAGGGCGAGGGCGGGGCCGTCTCCGCAGGCGCCGGTGCCCGGCGCACGGGAGAGGGCCGTGAGGAAGCCGTTCAGGGAGCGCGCGGGGACCGGAGTGGCCTGCCGAAGCAATTCGTCGAACAGGCGGTGTGCGTCTTCCGGACTGAGCGTCCCAGCGCTGACGCGCTCTGTGGCCGCGGCAAAGGCGGTGACGGGAGACCATGAGCGTGACGGCGGCAAGGTGGAGATGGAGGAGGAGCGGCAGCGGAGAAGGCGGAGGTGGGGCATCGGCGCGGTGGAGGTGGAGTGGCGGAGGCGGGACATCGGCGCGGTGGAGGTGGAGGAGGATGCAAGTGTTCAATTCAGTAAGACAGTGACGGTTCATTCATCAGTTAATCAACGGCAAGCTCGCTCCTCAACTCCTCGTCGCTCGACGGCCAAGATCACCCCCGTAGCTTTATTACTCTCCTTTTCTTTTGATGAAGGAAAAAACTTCTCAAGGCACTACTACAAAGAATGTCAAAAGTAGTGTCAAATGCTCTTATAGTATGGGACAGAGGGAGTACAAATTACATCTAGTAGACAACCTAGCAACGACTAAAGCACTGGAACGAGCCGAAGTTATCGCCACTCCCTCGTTAGATCCGAGTAAACCTTGTTGTAGTAGACAATAAAAATGCGTGATAAGGCCCTAGAGGGCCATACCTTTACCTTAATTAATCTAGCCTACCAACAGATGTTGTGCTAAAACCTCATACACTCATACCTATATACTTCATATTCGAAAGATGCCCGTCTCGGAGGGGTGAATTCCTGTGGATCCTTCACAATTTTGTGTAATCTTAGCAATGTTCACGATATCGGTAACCGGTAACTGCTCGATCAAGTTCTGGGTAGGGTTTAATAGGCAAGTTGCTCCATGAACTGAATTTATCGGTAAACCATCGTTAACCTGGGTCATATCTATATATCCTAGGCTACCTATCAACATATGCAATGTACGAAAATGTTTAAATATTCTAATAAAAAAGGAAAAGTGTTACATATCTATATATCCTAGGCCACACCACATCATCTGAATTTATTTCCAAAGATGGAGCACTTGAATCGGTAGAATCGTACAGAGGAGGGGACAGAGCAGCAATGCTGATATAGCCAGCCAGTAGCACCATAACAATCTGGGAGAAGGGGCGGGAGCTCCGAACCTAGAACAATGGGAGAAGAAGTGGGCGGCTGGGAGAAAGGGAGGGAAACTTGCTACATTTCGGGCTAAATTAAACTTTCCTCCTTTGTTCATGAGCAAAAAGATTTCAATTTTGAGGCTCGTAGCCTTGCAAAAGCACGCTGCATCTCTAGGTATAGGACGTCACGTTTGGTTGAGTCTTCCTTATGACTGTAAACATTGTTACCCCTGGATAAAATTAGCGTGTGTTTGCCTTAAAAAAAACACCCCCTCCACTCTACTTACAATGCTAATTGTGGAGGCAGTGGGTACTGAGTGCCACACTTGGGAATTCAGAGGGTACACAGAGGCAGTGAAGCAGCATTGATAACAAGTAACACAACCAAAATCACTGGGCGCCTCAAAAACAAAAATCACTGGGCACACTGCCATCTCGTGAAGCTGCAAAACACACCTGAAACAACGGTGGATCGCCGCCAAGCCAAGCTGTTTTATTATCCAAACTATATACATCCATCATAAGTTCCTTACGGTGATACATCGCGACTGCATTCTTACACGAAATTAGCCATCTGTAGTAGCAAGTCGTAGTCTGGAGTAGAAGGAAAAAAGACAAGGGCCGTCCTCATCTCATGCCCCAGCGCCTCAAACACGTTTTGGATAATAGAGGAGCCTCAGCCACTGTTTCTTCAACCCCGAGTGAGGGTGCAGCTAAAGAGGCTGAGTTCTACTTCAGACTTAATGCCCAACTCAGGGACTTTGGCATTGCATGAGGCGACTTGGATCTCCGTGATTCATGTACGCCACATGCTCGGAGCTCCGACAGAGGAGAAAAACCCTCCAAAAGTCGCAGCACAAGATGGAAATTTTACCTGCCTCGATGCTTATATGCTCTAGCTCGAGTGGTTCGTACATCAAACGAAATGTCTTCATCTCACCTAACCAACCCTGAAATTATTAGGACAAATAGAGAAATTAGTTGTCAAGTAGTTGGGACACAGAGGAATAATGCTAGGCAAATATAGAGATTTATTAAGCATCGTTTGGTGGGAAATGATAAGGAAACCCCAGCAGTCTCGTAAAGGAAAGTTTCACCAGTATGCATTGCGCACATGTAATATAGAGATGGCGCCATAACTGGACTACCTGATAATCATTTCAATGTACTATATTATTTTTTATATATATAAAGGTACAGCTTTTACGTTGCTGCGTAATTGTCAGTTCGTAATTTGTCATATAAGGAAATCTCATTGTCCCAACCACCATTTCGATGTACTATATTATATGTAAGAGAGGTACAACTTTTACGCTGATGTGTAATTTTCAATACGTAATTTGTCATATAGGGAAATCTGATTGCCCCAACCACCATATCAGATCCCACTGACTAAATCGCAGAGAGGTAAGATTATCAGTCATGATTAGCACAAGAAAACAAATACCTTGACTTCTGTAGAGCCAAATCCTTCCTCCTGCCCTCTTGAGTAACCGCAGTTCTCCCAACAGAAGAAATATTCGGCTCAGCTAACGGGTTGGTGACAAATCCACCCTGAACTCCAAACTTCTGCCTTTCCCACTTGTAAGAAGCTCTGCTCCCTTCAGAGCTGTTTGGAACACTGGAGGCAGAAAACCTGGAAGAGTTTCTACCACCATCATGCCTTCTCCAGAATTTTGGGCTCAGAATGCAACAGGTGTTCACACGGGGCTCACTGCTTGACATCCTTTCAGAAGAAACGGCCAAGTCACGTGATATCTCATCCAATGCCATCTCTAGGCCATGGACCCTTGTCTCCAAAGAATTCATGCCATTCTCAGATTTCCCCATAAATTTCTGATAAATAAGATGAACAACAATGTCAGATAAGCTTCCAATACACATGTAAGATATCAGAAGCATGTCAGGTGAGTTACTGCTTATAAGGGCCCATGGCTACTAGTTACTAGGAGTATAAGGCTTGCAGACATCAAATGATTGATGACAGACTCAGGTAAAATCAGCAAAATACATAAATAAAATCGTACTTTTTGCAAGGTCAGATTCGAAATTATGATAATTGCAGATTAAGACATTGTCATATAGCATAAGCCATGTTCCTGTCCAGGTTCCCCTTATAGCATGAAATTGTCAATGTCACAATTTGACTAGTGTCACGTAGACATGAAAGATAGATGTACCCTCTTCGCACCACCGACACAAATATATCGATTGAATATCCGACTATGGCCACTGTAGGCATAACTTAGCTTGCCTGAAGTTCAGGACACTTGTAAAATAGCCAATGCAATGAGCATTTTTTACTTATTAATTTTGGCAGACAAGTTTCATGGCTACAAGACCTATAACCCTCGCAGGGAATGCCATATTGCCATGTGTAAAGTTGTGCAGCGTTTTCAAAGGGCCAAAAATCCTGACAAGCCACTCCCATTTTTTAATAGCAATTGTACATTCTTGCTAATAAATATGAGCTGAGCAAACCGTAAGAACATGCTAAACCTGCTTGAACAGCTAGCACTAGCTATTTTCTTGCCCTTAACATGAAAGCTTATGGTCCTAATTGAATAGAACTGTAAAATATAATGTCCAACATAAAAAGGCAAAGTCACCTGGAGAAGGTCAAGTAAACCAGTCTGCTGTTTTTCAATCTGAAGCAGCTGCGACCTTATCTCTGATAAGCCCTCATCTTTGAGACCTGACTGAGACCTCTCTGAACCACCTTCAACCTCAGAAATCTCTTCCATGTTACCACCACATTCATACGGAACAACTCGCGAGCCAGCTTTCGCTCCAGCCAACTTGGTTGCCCTCTCTTCATTGCCCTGGAAAAGCGTCCTCCTTGTTTCCAGCCTAGATCTCAGATTGCCTCCTTTAAGAAGCTTCTCCTCCGTCACCTCTTTGATCGGGGTAGCATCAGGTGCAATTGCAGTGTCAACCTTGTAGTCGCAGTTCTTCGCTTGGCCTACCTTGCGGTTTGAAGGCGGTGACAGCCTCTTGTTTCTGATGGATGAGGGACTGTGCTTTTTTGTTACACCGGGTGACACATCAGGAGGAGGCGACCTGCTCGTAGGTAATCTATTCTTCCTCGTCGCCGACTGAACGGAGTTTGAGCCTAAGGAAGCAGCTGGATATCTCCCATCACTTACACTCCCTGCTTGATCACAAGATGATTTGTGTCAAAAAAGAAAGAAACAGCAGAGCCCCAACAGTTCAGAGTTTTGTTGGGAAATCAAATAGTTAGTACAACATGATTTTCCTCTTCATAAAAAAATCCTCAATTATATGGCTCTTTTCTACTACTAGCAGTATAAACGATTACTTGAGCCAACCGTAAATTTATCAGATCTGCACAAGTAGCAACCAAAACTTGACATGTTCCACGTTAGGTGCATCACCTGCGAGAGAAGATCTTCGTTGTGAAAGTGACGCCGGCGCCGTACATGAGGATAATTCTTCCTCTTCGATGTCTGGTATCTCTTTCCACGCCTCGATCATCCTGCTCATCGAGTCCCGCACAATCTTGACCTACATTGACGAAAAGGCACCGAAAATCTAAGCATCGAACGACAGATCCAGAAAAAATATGTCACGCCACGCAGATCCAACCAAACCCAAGACCAACCTTGTCGAACCTCCTGGCCTCGAAATAGGCAAGGCAAGAGGATTTGTAGGTCATGAGAAGATCCTTGTATTCTAGGGCGAATGCGGCAAGCGCCTCGGCCGCGGCCTTCCTCGCCGCCCAGTCGTCGCTGGCGATTGCCTCGCGGAGGCACGGGATGGAGGCGGTCACTTCGGCGTCGCCGGCCACGGCCGCGGAGGCGCCGATGAGGGCGATGAGCGCGGGCTTGGCCTTGAAGGCATTGCTGCGGAGGAGCTTGAGGAGGCGGGGCTGGAGCTTGTGGAGGTAGGAGGCGAGGTCGGCGGTGAGGGGGGAGGCCTCGACGGCGGCGACGGTGGCGAGCGCGGCCGCGAGCTGCGCGCACTGGTCCTGCTCGTGGAGGAGCGCGTCCGCGAGGGGGCCGAGCGCGGCGGAGGCGGAGGCGGACGCGGCGGCCGCGGCGCGGGCGGCGTCGACGAGCGCGCCGCGCACGGACGAGTCCTGGTCGCGGACGCGGCGGAGCGCCGCGGCGAGGATGCGCGGGA